TTTATATGTTCAAGTTGATAAATTTGATGTTACTTAAAAATTGGCAAATTAATTTCAAAAATGATTCAGCGGCATTGTGCCCCTATCCACTCACTAACTGGATCACCCTAATGTTAGTACTGTGTTATTTATTTATTACCAGGGTAGATCTCTCAATGGAAGTATACGCGCATGGTCTGTCTGCATGAATATACCGAAGGTTGACTAAAATTAATGTGTAATCGGTATAAGACCTACCAGAAGCAAACACAGCACTTAACTTATTATTATTATTTTTTTTACAATTCTAGTGATAGTATATAACTTCTAAAGCGTGATCAATAACTTATTAATGTTCCAGGCTGAACTTTGCAAGAATAATTAAAATTGTACGAGTAGTAGGCCTATGTTCATAAAATGTAGGCTGCAGGTCTATTTGTGTGGCAAATAGTATCCTGTGTTTTACTTATTGCATATTCTGTATATTTTTCATAGCTGAATACCCTCCACATCGTGTAAATACAATTACAGTATGTTATAGTCATTTTTGGTTTATGCATTAGTATGTATTCATGTTTCTTGGTCTTCTGGAGGAATAAGCAACTCAATTTATGTACTTATGGCAATGATAATAAATTAATTTTTTAACAATATTATTTTCTACAGCTTTACCAGCTGCTATTTCATGGCATCCAGAGGTGCCATATTTCCAACATAAACTTTCATCCATTCTAACTTTATATATTGTGGCTGCCCCTTGAGGGGAAGGGAAAGCGGCCAGCATCTGTTTCCAGGCATTCATAGGCGCCAAACAAGTTGTTTACCAACCATGGTGGGGCTAGAGTTGATATGATAATTGTGACCCAAGACCACAAAAGGGCTGTAAACTCGCATCACCAGGTTTCGAGAAAAAGGGCCAATAGACAGTATAACATGAAATTTGAGTAAAATGTGATTACATCATAAATATAAAGTATTAGGTTTAATCTTACTAATTTTGAAGTTTGGGTTCAATATTTCAACATTAAAACCCTAAAATTTAGTAATTTTATGAAGGCCATTCTACGAGAAACGTTTATAAATTCACCAACTTTCAAACCGCCATACTTCGCTTCCAAACTACTTATTCACCTACACAAAATCCTAAAGTATGTTGCGAAAGTATTTGTTGTGCATCGTACCCTGGTACAAAGACGTAAATATATACCTAAATGAAGGAAATAGCCTTGAATTACTTTAAAGAATACCGTACTAAACTGTTTCATGCACCTGTTGGAAAAAATTTGAACCATAAATGATGTAGATTGCGGTTAAGTACATATTTTAAGAAACTAGTTGTTAAGAAACTTAACTTAATACTTAAAAAGTATTGAGGCCAACAGAACAATCATCTGCACTAAAACGTATTGATGAAGTACCGTAGGCTATATTTACACAACGACATACATGATTTAAATGACATTGTGTAAATATACTTCATCAATAAAACGAATACTGATGAAGTATATTTTTTACACAACGTCATTCAAATCATGTACAAAATACTTAAACAGCTTTAAAGAACCAAACAATAATCAACTTGAAACTTGAGAAAAGTATTGAGGCCAACAGAACAATCATCTGCACTAAAACGTATTGATGAAGTACAGTAGGCTATATTTACACAACGACATACATGATTTAAATGACGTTGTGTAAATATACTTCATCAATAAAATGTATACTGATGAAGTATATTTTTTACACAACGTCATTCAAATCATGTACAAAATATTTAAACAGCTTTAAAGAACGTAATGTATACACATTAAAAAACATTTTGATAGAGTTCGAGTTTTCAGCCCTTTTGTAATCTTGGGTCACAATTATGCTCTCAGATCTTAACTAACGTCAAAATCCTTTAGCTGTGGATAGAGATAGCGGGTCTCCACTCTTCATTTACTACCAAATTTGTCAAGTGCTCATACTACCCCCCCCCCCGCACTACCCCCTCACTATAATGGCCGGACCACTTGCAAAATGCTTCCGACGGCTATGACTACATCACAGAGGCTGAAAGTTATAAATACCTAGGCGTTAACATTTCAAAAAATCAATCAGAATGTACTTATGCAAATGATGTACGAAAGGGAAATAGGCTAATTGGATATATTGAAAATATCCATAATAAAAAAAAAATTAAATATATTGTCAGGTTAATCAACCTAGAGCCACATGGCTGGCCTAGACTACTACTAAATGCACTTTTTGCTATGCATGATATTGATTATAACATAAGATGGAGATGGTTAAGTTCTGTTAAAATTATTTTAAATAAATCTGGATTTGAAAATGTATTTTCATCTAATATACCATGTGATACAATGTGGTTTACCTCATTCCAATATATACATCGTGAAATATATAACTGACTGGTTGAGTAATGTTTGTATTAAATCATCCTTATGTGAATAATATTTTAGCAAATATAAGAAGGTACCTAAACTAGAAGATTATCTCCTAGTTAGGTACTCAGCTCAAATTCAAGGCCCATTCTAATACACTTGAGCTAGAAAGTAAATTAAGCAAGTGGAATAAGACTAATACTGGTATTTGTCTTCTAGATAATGATGGTATCGAGGGTATCAGACATTTTTTACTAACTTTCAATAAACTTAAAGAAATCCAATCAATGAAACTTAATAACCTCAAAAATAATCTTTGTAACTCAGGGTTATTTCATTTATGGAATATATTTCAGTCAAATAATAATGATATTTTATTTCTTATGTTAGGTGGACATTGTAACAAGTTCATACCTATGTTGCCAAGCTATTTAGCAGATTCTGCCCATAAAATTATTGACGATTTTTGTAAGTCATATCTTAAAAGAGCATGGGCAATAAGATCATGTTAAATGACCAAATAAGTTTATCCTGATTAAGTTTACAGTTTTGTTGTTTGTTGTACAGTATTTGTTTATTATGAATTATACCAATTATTTATGTTTGTTACTCATAAGCTTAAGATAAGTCACTTGTTAATGGCTACACCCCTACAGTTTTCTCTTTGATCAAATAACTACTTGTTTACTTTTTTATGTATTATTCACCTAAATCATATAGTGTACATATATTTAATAGTTTTATTTTTGTTTTGGTATTTCCTTTCCTTTACATTGTACTAAGTCTAGGCCTATGCCTTTTAAATGATTGAGATGTTGTTTATATATGTGTTTGGATGCACCATCAAAATGATGGGTGCCGCTGTTTCAAAAGCGATTTCCGAATAATAATAATAATATAATAATAATAATAATAATAATAATAATAATAATAATAATAATAATATTATAATTATTATAATAATAATAATATTATTATTATTTATTTTTATTATTATTATTATTACTATTATTACTATTACTATTATTATTATTATTATTATTATTATTATTATTATTATTATGTCACTAGTCGAGGAAATGCCACATCATATTTTTTTTACACGCAATGATTTCAAGGTTTATTGAGGAAAAATATGTGATAGGACAATCCAGGAAGTTTATTCTATATACAAATAACAACATATTACTAGCATGAAGAGATATAAATAGCAAGGAGTACTCTTGCCAATTATCTTTGTTATGACTGACGTACAGATGGCTCGTGGAGATGTATAGCGAACGTAATTATCGTTCTAATGTGCACTTACTTCCACAAAAATAGATTTCACACGGATACAAACAAACTAGATAATGACGAACTTTCTAATCTAAGCTATCTGATACTTTTGATCATACTCGGTTTATTTACAATAATTAATAATGAATAATGTTTGTATTAAACCTTCCTTAGGTGAATAATATTATAACGTGTTAGCAAATATAAGAAGGTACCTGAACTAGAAGATTATCTCCTGGTTAGGTAGCTAGTTCGTTTTTTTTTTTGTTTTTTTTGTACTTGTAGCTAAGAATTTTAATTCACTTTGAACGCACCAAATGATTTTGAGTGCCACCGATCTAAAGGTGTATGTTATAATAAATGATTGAAATGATGGTGCTCAGCTCAAATTCAAGGCCCACTCTAATACACTTGAGCTAGAAAGTAAATTAAGCAAGTGGAATAAACTTAAACTTAACTTAATAACCTCAAAAATAATCTTTGTAATTCAGGGTTATTTCATTTATGGAATATATTTTATGGAATATATTTCAGTCAAATAATAATAATATTTTATTTCTTATGTTAGGTGGACATTGTAACAAGTTCATACCTATGTTGCCAAGCTATTTAGCAGTTCTGCCCATAAAATTATTGAAGATTTTTGTAAGTCATATCTTAAAAGGGCATGGGCAATAAGATCATGTTAAATGACCAAATAAGTTTATCCTGATTAAGTTTACTGTTTTGTTGTTTGTTTTATTTGTTTATTATGAATTATACCAATTATTTATGCTCGTTACTCATAAGCTTAAGATAAGTCACTTGTTAATGGCTACACCCCTACAGTTTTCTCTTTGATCAAATAACTACTTGTTTACTTTTTTATGTATTATTCACCTAAATCATATAATGTACATTTATTTAATAGTTTTATTTTTTTTTTTTTTGGTATTTCCTTTCCTTTACATTGTACTAAGTCTAGGCCTATGCCTTTTAAATGATTGAGATGTTGTTTATATATGTGTTTGGATGCACCATCAAAATGATGGGTGCCGCTGTTTCAAAAGCGATTTCCGAATAATAATATTATTATAATAATATTATTATTATTATTATTATTATTATTATTATTATTATTATTATTATTATTATTATTATTATTATTATGTCACTAGTCGAGGAAATGCCACATCATATTTTTCTTACACGCAATGATTTCAAGGTTTAGTGAATAAAGTTAAAGAGGAAAAACATGTAATAGAACAATCCAGGAAGTCTATTCTATATAAAAATAACAACATATTATTAGCATGAAGAGTATAAATAGCGAGGAGTACTCTTGCCAGGTATCTTTGTTATGACTGACGTACAGATGGTTCGTGGAGATGTATAGCGAACGTAATTAACGTTCTAATGTGCACTTACTTCCACCAAAATAGATTTCACACGGATACAAACTAACTAGAAAATGACAAATTTTCTAAGCTATCTGATACTTCTGATCATACTCGGCCTATTTACAAGGCGCAAAGTGTATGCCGACGATACAGGTAAGCAATACAATACAGTAATGTTATACTGCTGTACAATAGTATTTTTCTAGTATGTTTGAAAAGAATGTAAACATAAGAACCTAATAAAAACATTTTGCTTCTGAAATCAGCAAAAAATAAGAACGATGAGCCTGGCCAAAATTGTACTGGTAGTCCTTGCTAAAATAACTGATACCAACGCTTGCTCACGTTCAAACCATCCTCATCATTGTTGTTGTATTATTATTATTATTATTATTATTATTATTAAAATACTTATAATGGTCACATTATTAAGAAGACACAACAATAATTGTTACTTAACCAATATCCTTTGTTGTTATTATTATTTTTGTTGTTATTTTTCTTATTATTATTGTTGTTATTATTGCTGTGTTCATTATTGTTGTTATTGTTGTTGTAGTTAAAACTTACTGAGAAATGTGTTGCTGTTCAAATATCTCAATATTTGACACAAAACCAACTCCATGAACCTTTTCAATCTGCTTATAAATCTGAACATTCGATTGAAACTGCTCTTGTTGTCTTCTTAATGATATTCTTTCCTTTGTTGATAACGGTATGACTGTAGCACTCGTTCAATTGGATCTATCCGCTGCGTTTGATACAATTGACCATTCTAAAAATTCTCTGAAATTGTTCGTCTTATGTTTCGTCCCATTTTCAAAGAGTTGCCATTTCTAATTCATTTTCGAAAGACACTGAAATCCAATGTGGTGTTCCCCAAGGAAGTGTACTTGGTCCCCTTCTTTTTCTGCTTTATATTACCCCTGTTGCAAACATTTTACGTTCTTATAATGTTAAAAATCATCTTTATGCAAATGATATTCAAATTTACCTTCCTTTTTATCCTTCCTCTGAAACCATTTCATTTCAAAAACTTCAACTGTACATTAATGAAATTAAAACATGGATGTTCAACAATATGTTAAAACTGAACCCCTCAAAAACTGAGTTAAAGACCTTCATTGGCTTCCCATTAAACAACGGATAATATTCAAGATTCTCCAACTCGTACACTTCGTTCTTTCAATAAATTTCTTCTTTAAGCCCTTTTAAAAAGGAAAAAGCTAAAAACATATGGACAACGTTCTTTTTCTGTTAAAGCACCTTATATTTGGAATAGTTTTCTATTCGAAAATCCTCAAATTTAAACTCATTTAAAACTAATTTTAAAACGGTTTTGTTTATAAAATCGGGTTTAATTGAGTTAATTGTTCACTGCGCCTTTAATGATGTTTTTGAATTGGCGCGTTATGAATATTATTATTATTATTAATATTAGTTATTGTTGTTGTTATTAGTTGTTTTTGCTGCTGCTGTTGTTATTGTTTTTGGTATTGTTGTTATTGCTGCTGCTGCTGCTGTTATTGCTTCTGCTGCTGTTAATGCTGCTGATGTTATTGCTGCTGCTGCTGCTATTATTGCTGTTGCTGCTGCTCTTATTGCTGCTACTGCTGTTATTGCTGCTGCTATTGCTGCTGCCACTATTGCTGCTGCTATTGCTGTGCTGCTGTTATTGCTGCTGCTGTTGCTATTAATGCTGCTGTTGTTGCTACTGTAACTGCTGTTGCTGCTGCTGTTATTGCTGTTGCTGCTGCTATTGCTACTGCTGCTGTTATTCTGATGTTGTTGTTGCTGCTGCAGCTGTTACTGCTGCTGTTGCTGTTGCTGCTGCTCTTGGTGTTGCGGTTGTTGTTGTTGTATATTTATTATTTATTATTATTGCCTTCTGCAAACTGAACCAATCAGAAGTGTTTATCCAAACTGCATGCGAAAACAGGCAAGTGAGGCTTACATGTTACGGAGAAAGCATCCTCTACATACATAGTGCTTTGTATGGCCGTGATACTTTAGAAACCTGTAAAAGTGGACATGGCCGTTCAACATCATGTAGCGCTGAAGGTGCGCTACAAATAGTAAGGGATACTTGCCAAAATCAACGTTCATGTGTTGTAGAAGCAAAAAATTATGTATTTGGAGATCCGTGTTATGGAGTGTTAAAATATCTTCAAGTTTCGTATACGTGTGAAATTAAAGGTGAGAGTACGTTTTATTTAAATCATGTGGACATCATCACCACCTTCATCGCTATCGCTATCATCATCATCATCCTTATCATCATCATCATAATCTTATCATTATTGTCGTTATCATCACCATCGCCACCACCACCACCATCATCCATATCTTCATCATCGCCACTACCATCACCATTATCATCACCACTACTATCATCATCATCATCATTATCATTATTATCGTCATCACTATCATCATCAAATTTATCTTCACCATCACCACCACTACCACGAACACAATCATCATCATCATCATCTTCTTCATCGCCAACGCCACCATCATGTCCATCACCATAATTGTTCATATTCTTTACTTACACTGAATTGAAATCTACTATCCACCTAAAAACATATATTTCATAAATTTGTTTGAAAAGAAAATTTACGGTACTTTATTTTTTATTGGAAATTAATATGAAATGTCGGTGATTTGGTACATAGTATGGTACTCCTAATATATTTTAAGAACAACGATTGTTTTATCACTATAGCATGGCATATGGTTTTCAAAGGCGTATCTGGAGCGGGAGAACCAGATCTGTATGATTTGTGGCGAGATGACGGCTCGTTAAACGCTTTGAACGACTCAGCACGTACCCTAAATGACAGTCTTAAAGCACATTTCAAAAGTCCGATGGTTGACAGGTGGTCGGAGTATGAAATACAACGGGCAAGTTGAAATTAAATTAATTTAAATAGTAAATAATGTAATCTAATTTTAGTGTAATATTTTCATTGCTGTCAATACTGTACGAATATCTGATATTTTCATAGATATATCATTTGCAAGTTATCAGAAATACTAATACTCCTGCAACGAAATAATATTTAAAGGTCATGGTAACGCAAAACTGGGTAGCAGACAAAGTATCTACGAAACCTGGGATAGGGACGTTTCACCACTAAGGAACTAGTGACTGCATACCTTTTATAGCCGGGAAAAGTCAGGGCCCAGCCAAGGAAACATTGCTATTTTTTCCTGTCAAGGTTTTCTCAGTGGTTTCATCATCCTGACCCATACAATTTGAAATAAGCTGAAGGCTACAGATTTTTGCCTCATATCCAAGATGACCACCAAAATCCAAAATGGCAGCCAAAATTACTATTATTAGAGATATACACTTTTTAGTTGAATTATCTCAGACCTAAACTTTCAAGATCTATTGAGGACCACCAGGAATTTGGCCTCAAATCCAAGATGGCCGCCAAAATCCCAAATAGCCACCTAAAATTATAATTATTTGAGAAATGTAGCATATTATTTGGTTATGTCAGTGTTTTTTCAGTTAATTAGTCACCTGGGATATAAACCTTTTAACATCAATCGAGGGCCACCCAGAAATTGGCCTCATATCCATAATAACCACCAAAAACCAAAATGGCCGCAAAAAATACAATTATTCTAGATTTGCAGCTTATATTTGGTTTGATATATATATATACAACTAGATAAATGAAAACTATCGGATAATAATATTAGTGCAGTACTCGTATGATATATGTATGTGATTTCAGAATAAACAAACAGTATAGTTATAAAATAGTAGAATAGTCACAGAGCCAGGTTAGACCTACTGAGAACATTTCGGTTCTTTGCAGTGAAGTAAATCTAAAACGTATTCATGAAGTCATTCAAAATCGTGTACAAAATAGTAGAACAAACTTTAAAGTATGTTCCGAAAGTAGTTGTAGTGCATCGTACTGTGTGGTACGAAGCTTACGTAAATGTATACCTAAATGAAGGAAATACTGTAGCCTTGAATTAATTCAAAGAATACTAAACTGTTCCATGTCTTGTTGGAAAAGATTTGGAAAACAATCCTCTTGCCCTCTGGCAGTAAAGGGGATCAGAAATGATGTAGATTACGGTTGAGTATGTTAAGAAACTAGTCGTGGTTATTAGAACTTTAAAAAAATATTGACGCCAACAGAACAATCATCGGCACTATTTTCAGCGACTCATGTGAAACTAAAACGTATTGATGAAGTATATTCACACAACGTCATTCAAATCGTGTACACAGTAGTTGAACAACTTAAAAAAAATCAAACAATAACGTGCGTGTCGACATTACGATTGCTTTAGAAATATTTTCAAAAGTAATTTTCTAGAGCATAGAACCATGGTACATCTGAACTGGTTTTCCTTGTCCTTAGTTCCCACCATACAGGCCTATGTTGTTTTAATTTTTAATTCAGCATAGTAATATGAACTTAATTACGTAATTGAATAGTATATATATATATATATATTGAATAATATTGTAGGGTTCTCGATTCCCTGACCCCGTCCACTTCCTCCCGTCCGGAAAATTGGCCATTCCAATTCCTCCACCTTCCCACTCGGGAACAAAGAACATGATACCATCGACTTTGGCGGCACCAATGGGTAATAGTATTGAGAACAGTGTTGTTTTCATTTTAGGTAGAAGGGCGCGTATTCAAACAACCATTAAATTTAACATTTGGTATAGGGTAGCATAATTTCCCATCAGCCCTTGGATAATTTGATTTGGATCACTGGTCACAAAGAAAGGTATGCCTAGCATTTAGTTAATTATTGCGGACGCATAAATAACGCTAAATATTTTGATTTTAAAGAAAATAGAGGGTAGTTGATTTGATCTACCAGTATTTTAATGATGGAACCGGTAGTTCGAATGGAGGAATTATTGTCTTGCTTAAATAGCTTGTTTACCACCTCGCCATACAGTAGCTTGCAACAATAAAAATTCTGATCACT